AAGGCCTACCAAGTGTGACTCAGCAGGAGAGCAGAGTACTCCACTTCCATCTGTTGCATATTATACAGTTCCTTGCCCTGTGGTAGAGGAAGGTAAACGGCTTCGCATGACATGAAATCAAACAATTCGGTTTTGTTCTCATTGAATCGAAGGAAGTCCTTCCAGCTTTCTGGCAGCAAAATGGAAGGAGCCACCCTTTTCCTGGTGCCCTTTCCCTTTTCCTGCCCTATTGAGGCTTTCAGGCTAGCAGGTAAGTATACACCATAGCCAAGGTCGATGTGGATGCTTTTCTCGAGTTGAGCAAAGATGTATGGGGCAAACACTTTTTCTCCATACTCTTGAAATGTTCTTGATGTTCCAGGGTTGAGCATTTAATTGAACCACAGCTTCACCATCAATAATTATTGCTTGGGCCACAGGTGCACTATTGTTTTCGAGCAGATTTGATTCCAGGCAGCGAAGTAGATCTGCTTTAACTCCAAACCGCATTTACCTCCAGTTAACAAAGCTGTCGGGACTGCCTGGTTTTCATGAGAGAAGAAATTGTCCATATCTCCATCCCTTGTCTGACACGAGATGTAAATCCTCAAAAAGAGACCACAGTCACTCTTAAGTGCTGCAAGCTGTGCCTTCTGTTTTAACATATATATAACCTTCGCCGGCTGCCGACTGAAAAATGGCAACTTGTTCGTATGAAGTGTTTGTGTGACAGCTAGGTGTCGTACACTGCTCTAGCCTTTCTGTCACAAACTTTGTGTACTGCTCACCTAGGGTCTCAATCCTTCTCCCCGTTTCAGCCAATTGGATGTCCATGATATGTCGCTTGTGCCAATGACTAGTATGTCTTGACTTTGTTCTAGAGATGGATTCCCCATCTCTTTCAGTACTGTCAGAAGTTCCCATCCCTCAAGAATGCTGCCTGCACTCCAGGTTGCTGGTCAAGGTGATGTTTGTATAGTGTTAGCAGAAACGTTAGTTTGCTTTATGGCATGTTCCTCAAACTCTGTAGCGATTATTTAAATTACTTAAACCAAATAAAACACAAAGTAACTTAAAGAACATCTTACCAGTATTATTGAGCAGTAACGGAAAGGAGCAGTTTCCCTGACTTGAATTGAGGTTTGTACCGTATACTGCCTAGCTGCCCACTGACCATGCTATATGCATATGGTCAGTTACAAGACAACTACTGGTTTGGTGCTATAATTAGTGAAATAAACTAACTGACAGGGATTACGATGGAGACTATGCAGGGGAACCACTCCTAAAGAAATGTGAGAACATAGGGGGACAAATAAATGGGAAAACTTTTTGTAAACATTCAAAACTTGCTATTTTTTAGTCAATTTTGACCTTGACCTTGACTTCATGCAAAGCCCAGAGTTCTGGCGTACCCTAAAGTATTACTAAATGAATTGGCATCCCCAACTTAGTTGGAAATGACACCTTAAACGTTTTTCTGGACTATTTAGTTCAAGAGTTAAGCGTGTTTGGACAATTATTAGACTATGCGGCGGACTGGCAGCCATTTTTTATTTGACCTCTCAGGGTCATCAGAGGTCAAATCTGATTTCGCTCTACATCTGAAAATGAATCTCATGGTCTGCAGGGGAACCACTCTTAAAGAAATTTGAGAACATAGGAGCGAACAAATGACAAATAAATGGGATTTGTTTCGTTGTAAACATTGAAAACTTGCTATTTTTAGTCAATTTTGACCTTAACCTTGACCTAAATGCCAAACCCCGAAATCTGGCGATCTCAAAAGTATAACCAAATGCATTGGCATCCTCAATTTAGTTGGAAACGACACCTTAAATGTTTTTCTGGACTATTTTGTTCAAAAGTTAATTAGCGTGTTTGTACATTAGACCATGCGGACTGGCGGCCATTTTGAATTTGACCTCTCAGGGTCATCAGAGGTCAAATCTGACTTCCCTCCACATCTGAAAATGAATCTTATGGTCTAAACTAACTATGCTAGAAGTTTCATGCTTTTATCAAAAAGTGCACAATTCTCGTTATATGGGGAGCTAATCCGCTGTACTATATAATATTGGCCAACATAGGGACACATAAAATACCAATTTTATGTGTCTTGTTTTCTATTTAATAAATCTGTGCACTTTGACAAATAGCATTTATAGTGTACATAATGTATGTGTTTTTAAAGGGAAATTGCACCCTATCCAAAACTTTTCTCAAAGTAAGCAGAAAAATCAGAGAAGCAGACTGGTGAAAGTTTGAACGAAATCGGATATCCACATAATGTATCCATCCCTTTTATCCTGGATATCCATTGCTAATTTGCTATCCACAAAATATTTTGAGTAGTGCTCCAATGGAGAAGGTGCTTAGGAAGAAAAAAAACACTGAAATTTATGATAATTTTGTACATGACTAACTTGAGAGTTATCCATGATTACTTCACACTCCACTCCAGTACCCAAATCACAGATTTGAGATTTATTAAATAGCTTTAATGATCTCATACTTCAAACACTCTTGGTCAGATTTATGTCAAACTTCGTCAATTCTGATTCTTTTACTTTTCCGCTTTCATACAAATAAAAATAATCACAAAGGTTAGATTGACCTTTATAAAGGTACAGTGTAGGCTACATGTACATGTACATGTGGTACTGTTGTTGTTTCTATTCATTAATTCTGTATAATTATTTATTCATTGCTATTACTGTACAGCTCATGTACAACCTGTAACTAGACAGCTACAATGAAAAAACACAACTGTACATGTACATGTAACATTAAACGTAAATCAATAAATGCATACCAGTTATGAACACAAAGAATATCAAAGAACATCTTTTTTGTTTACAATGTAAGTTTGTGTTTCAATATTTGTACACCTGTTTCATTGTTGTATAGACCTGCTGAGAAATCGAAGAGTGTTTCCCTTAACAGGTCAACTTTAATTTCACATGCATCTCATGACTCATGTACGTGTACATGTTGTATCAACAGACATGTCACATGTGTACATGTACATGCACATACACTTACAATAAAAGAGAAATGTAAAAATGGGCAAGATTGCAGAGAAAACGTGTATGGAGATGGAATAATTAAATTGACAATGGCCATTTTAGATGTGTAATGTTTTTCTTTGACAGCACTTACTACATAATGTACATAATGTACAAATGTACATATTACAGGATTACTACGGATTAACCAACACAAACATGTAAATTGTGCACTTCCCTACTGAATTTATAAGCTGAATGTAATAGGTACGGGTACAGTACATTGTATTCTACCAGTAAGCCTAGCACATACAACAATGTGAAAATATAGTATTGTATGTGCATAATGTACCATATAACTCACAATGGAGAGTGGAGACAACAAAAGAGACCTTTTAATACTGGTCATTCAAATGTCTGGTATTATTGCAATTTGCAAGTACCTCAAGTATGCCTCCACATGTACTGTATCTCTAGACTAGAGCTACTCATGTACATTTAGTGCAGTATGCAGGGGAGTGTGTGTACACGTGGGCCTACACAATTGGCTCTTAACTTCTTTCAATACTATTGTTGATGGAAAAAGAATATGCACTGATCTTGGAAAATCAAAATATTCCAACACTGTAATATTCATTGTACAAACTGTACACCAAACTACATGTACACCTGTACATGTACTTTACCATTTACCATTTATTGGTGAGGCAGTCGTGAGGCAAAGTCGTGAGGCAAAGTGGTGAGGCAAAGTGGGGAGTGGGCAGATGGGGAGGGATACAGTACAATGTACAATTACACATAACAAAGGCCCCTACATGTTAACAATTCTCGCTATTGCCAATCACTATGAACATGACTGGCAAAGAAAGCGGACAAAATATACAGTTCCTCAGGTAGACAAAGGAACATCCCTTCACTGCTATTATGTAAAAAGGTGAATATGCATGTGACACCTGTTCTACACATTTTTACATAATAGCAGTGAAGGAATGTTCCTTTGTCTACCTGAGGAACTGTATATTTTGTCCGCTTTCTTTGTCAGTCATATTCATAGTGAATACCCCCAAATGCTTGGATGTTGATTTCATGCAACCATTTCCAATGCACTCTGGGATAGCTTGGTGATTTAATCGCTTCCGGTCCATTTCATACGGCTGTACTGTGCTAATCCGGTCTCGGCCGATAAACACTGAGCTAGATGTTTATTTCCGTATTTCAACAGTTGAATGGTGCAACCTTTCACTTTGTCTCTGGGTTTTTAGAAAGTATAAAGCGATTTTCTATTTTTTTATAAACTGAATTGTCAGTTGGAATATGGTGGGATACTGTGAATCTCCTACATGTATGTGCTAGTCGCACAAAAATAAACTAAAAAATCTTCAGAGATATCCCTGGATGAGAGATATGACCTGGGTACAATTTTAAACAATCACTATAGATCATGTGACTGGATAAAGGTTGCTCTGAAGGTAAGACAAGTTTGAAATCACTGCACGATCCAGACTCTGTAAGCAGCATTTTGACAAAGAACAATTACAAAATTGATGGACATGCAGTGAGATTCATGAAGTATTTCTTCTGGAACAATCATAGACTTGTAAAAAATCTGAAGAAGTCAGTAGGAGCCGCCAAGAGAGGAATCTAAAAACGCAATACATACATGTATTGCGTATGCATAAGACATGAAACTACATGTACCTGTATCCAAGAGTCGATCATCCGAGCATTTGAGGGTTTTGGCAATAGCGAGAACTGTCTGTGTGTTACATGTTAACTACCCTAACCATACAGGGACAACGTGTGTGTCATTTTATTTCACTGCATTATTGCTTTAACTCTAGGTGGTTTGCTGCAAGTGAAGTGTCATGTATGTGACAAAAGCTAAGTCTTCTGTCGCACATTCATGGTACAAACTGTAATGTGTATGCGTTGCCATTCATGTACAAATTGTACAATCATTGTTTACAGGCTACGTGGTACATACACATGTACATTATGCAAACTACTACTAACCTCGTCACTTTCTGATGGTTCGACATCACCATCATGGTCGTCATCCATCTGTCTGTGAAGCAACATTATGCCCTCCTTGCCGAGTCTGTCTTTCTCCCGATGATCATCAATGCATGCAACATCTTTTGTGCTACATTCTGTATCAATATAGACAAAAATAAATTGAGACGATAAACCAGGCCATGGCAGACTAGAACTTAAAAGCTACAGTATTACAGAATTGAGAAATGCAATTATTTATTTTAAGGAGAAAAAAATAAGGTGTGTGAAATAATTATTAAGAAAAGAATAGGAACATGAAAAGAGTCATAACACTACACTCTCAAACTTTCGATGTTCATTGGCATTGCCAAACCACAAATTTAAACAAAAATTACAAAGTCTAGTCTAGAGTCTAGATCTATTTGAAGGTAACCTAACGTCCCAAGGCTGAACTAGATCCTAACTTTACGCCGTCAACTTATCAAACTTCATACAAATGCATCTTCTTCTTCTCAATGGTCGACCGCACAATCAACAAGCTGATTATTCTATTCTGTCACTATTTCACATTGTACTAGACTATTTGTAGTTAGTACATTCAGTTTAACCAGTTAACATACCTTCATATTCATCATATTTTAAATCAGTAGACTAGGCCTACAGAGTACAGACAGTATCACTATCAATATTCATCATCAATTAGACTAATTATTAATTAGACCTAGATCTAGACTAGATCTAGAGGTCTACATGTATCAGAAAAGAAAAACAAAACAAAATAATAAAATTATTTTTACAAAGCCTGAACTTCAAAAGGTAAAGCAAACTTGTTTTTAAAAAAAAGTCTCTAATTTTTTTTCAAATAAATTCATTCCTCACAAACCTGGGTATTCAAAAGATCTATCCGTCAGTGGAGCAGAAGTGCCTCCACCCCCTTTCTTAGCGGTTCCCGACGCGGGAGTAAGGCGGGTAGAATCGACTGGAAACTGCCCCACCACGCATAAACAGACACAGGTGGTCCACACGAACATGATGAAAACAGGAATTGCATAGATATCCCGGTAAGCTCGATTCGACAGCCTCTGCTTACGATTCACGCTCACAGATGCCATGTTTAATTCTCTCCCAGAGATCTCGAATTATATTCAAATGGTTTGAAATCCACAAAGGCACATAGTTGAAAGTTAACAGGTTGAATTCCAGAAAATTCTTGTCGTAACTTAACTGCCCGGAAGTCTACCCTAGACCGATATCGTTCAGCTTTAGCTTTAGGAACCTCGTTTTTGCAGACAAAATTGTATTCAGCAGTAGACGCTGTACCATACCATACCCCGAGTCATGAAGTGAGCGTGGTATAAATAATGTCGACAAATCAACAGTTGTATCCAAATTATCTCCTAATGCTTAAAATTCCCGAATAAATTGTGGCAAATGTCGACGGTTTGCGACTCAAATCAGGCCGCGGCCGCAATCTTATAAGCAAACATAACTGTGAATGAAATGACAGCTGGAATTGGAAAAGGTCATATCATCGAGGCCAAAACGAGAATTTCATTAAACCGACTGGACGCACAAGTCTACGATGGATTGCTGACTTAAAGAAGGAATAACGAGTTAAAATGTATACGGTAATATCATCGAATTCAGTTCGTTGGGTAATACTCAAAAGTCATGGGGCGGGGGGTAATTCTGAGAACGATAGTAAACGGTACCTTTGATTTTTCCCTTTTTTAAATTTCTAGCAAATGGATATTTGAGTTTAACTTTTTTTAAATCTTTCTAACGCCGTTGGAATTTAATCTTTTCATTGGGTCCTTTAAATGGGACCCGAATGGGACAGGCGTCACCTGGGCAGTACTTCTGAATTTGAAATTGTAAAAATTCTCAATATGCTCTAAATATACACGCAGAACAGAATGCATTCATATATTTCGTCCTTGTTTTCACGAAGTGACGGTAGTGAGGAAAATCGTAACGCAAAGTGAATGCAATACTCTCCACTATTGGTTGACGTAAATATATAAAATCTACTTTTCCTCTTCCTCAAAATGATGTCCTTCCACGAAAAGAACAACTGAACAGACACCCCCCCCCCCCCCCCTGTCAACGGGATACAAAATTAGGAATCTGAAGAATAAAAAAGAAATTGCATAAAGAGAGAGATCAATTGTTAAGATAAGAAAACAAATATGAGTACCCTTACTCCGTAAATTTGAAAATTTCAAAGAAGCCAAGTGGCATAAACTGTAGCTTTTTTAAATTGTAGACGAGATGAGCAATTCAATAACCTTATAACCTCTTCGATTATATTATTTCCATTTCATTTTCATTGACTGATGTAAACTTTAGAGTGGTACAAACATCTGATTCATTTTTAATGAAGAAAGTATATAGTTAAATGAAGCCAAAATGTAAAAACTGATTTATTCATTTTTATCTCAATTGAATTTGTTTTTAAACCTATTTTCATCAGGGGTCGAGGCTTGCCGATGAAATATTTAGTTAGAAAATAACAATGAAATACTTTATTTCATAATAATGTAATTTTGTTCTTTAACTCGAATATTCAAAACTTTAGATTTTTGTTGGATAATCTTCCAATCGAAATGCTGATAAGCCTTTTACGAGCGATTTTAATCAGTAAGTGTTTCCAATAGGTGCTACGATTGGCAACTATAGCTTTAGACTTTGCTTAGTCGTTTTGTAGAGTTATTTACTACATCTAAACATACGTGTACAAGTCACACTGCTATAAAACATACCTTTTTGGGCGCGGGCCGCTTGAATAAACTTGAGAAATGATCTAAGAGTGAAATATAATTATTCGTAACAGGTGAATGCACGGTATGAAATAATTTGGAACTTTAACGAGGCACTTAACAAAGGTCTGTGCATTAAATTTGAATACATATACTAAAATGGTATATTGAATAGCCAAGCTTCCGGTGGTGCCATGTAAGTTATTAAAGGGAATACCACGCATATTGAATTAACCTTTTCTCTTTATATCACCGATTATTTCTTGCCCTTCTTTCTTTCTTTTCTTCGTTCCTTCCTCCTTCTTTCTACCTCATATCCTCTATCTGTGCTTCCATCTGCCTCCCCATCTCATTCTCCACCTAAAGTCATGTACATCGGCTCTCATTATCTCTCTCTCCCCCTCTCTCTCTCTCTCTCTCTCTCTCTCCCTCTCACTCTCTCTCTCTCTCTCCCTCCCCTCTCCCTCTCTCTCTCACCCTCGCTCTCTCTCTCCCTCTCTCTCCCTCCCTCCCCCCCTCTCTCTCTCTCTCTCTCTCTCTCCCTTAATTGCTCTTTGATTGACAAGAAGTAAATCTGGAATAAAACATAAAGAACTAACTGAATTTGATAATGAAACAAGATCGACTGAAATGCTCATATCGTCCATGCCAGAAAATGCCCCTTAGCAATTTTAATAAAAGAACTTCTACCTCTATAAATTGCTTGACATAATGCTCACTAGTGCTGCAAAGATAGGCATCTTCTAACATTTCATAATAATAAATAATAAACGTAACTTGTATAGCGCCAAATCCACAGTGGTCGTGCTCAAGACGCATGTAGAAATTATTAAGAATGAAAAAGAAGCGTATTTACATGATTTTTTTTTAAGGAATCAGAGGTAACTCCCCGGTTATTCACTTTTTGTTATATTCGGGAAGGCTTTTCCATTATATAGGTAGGACACGCATGAACAAGTGACCTTTCCCTGTCTTTGCAACTTTAAGAATCACAAGGGAACCAGAAGTGGATGAGCGCAAAGATCTCGCGGGGCCGTGTAATTTTGGAGTAAAGAAATATTTTATTGGGCAGCAGAACAGTAGGCAACAAAATGTTGACATATAATGCGATCTTTAACAGGGAGCCAGTGCAGTTACTGCAAAACAGAGGTAATGGCTAGAACACAGTGACAACGCTTGCCGCTCCCCCCCCCCCCGGGGGGGGGGGTACTTACAGTGACGGGGGTCACTTTTTCACACAAAAATCCCTAAACATGGGTCCCATTTACACCAAAAATAGCCTAAACACCTATAGGTCCTTTTTTTTTTGTTCGGGTCATTGTTTTCAAGGGATTTACTTCGAGAAAAATCCCCCATAATGACCCTTAAAAATGGGTAGGGGGTTCGAGGTTTGAGTGGCACACCTCCGACCAAATTCGCCAAGCTTCCAACATACAACAATATACAAGAATAACAGATCAAAATTAAGTAAGCTTGAACAAGATAACCCGCGAAAGCTCGAGAGCTTATTTCCAGTGGGGTCCCCGACAGGCATGTACACAATTAATAAGTTAAAATAGTAATATTTACAGACAGATAAGAAAATTATTAAAGATAATAATAATGATAATAATAATAACAACATTAAACTGAAGCAGCAAAACAACAAGTGAGGCAAGATGACAACAACAACAACGTTGAAGATGATTGATCATTGATAATTGTATCAATAGCATGTAGGGTACATGTATATTCAAATGTCTCATTTTTTGTCTCTCGCTTTGAGGCTACCTTTTGTAGGTTATAGCCCTTCCATCCCTAAAGTGATTGTTATTGCCCCCCTTGAAAGATGCTCCACCACCCTGGCTACATGATCTTGTTTGGATGGAAAAAGATTGAATTAGAATTTGTTTTATTTCTAGATTCATAGGCATTTAGCGTTGCCTCGGGGGGGGGGGGGGGGCAATTATGCCCTTAGATCCGAAAAGATTCCGGACACCCTCCACCACCCCCCCCCCCCACCCCTCTCCAATTTGTTTACTACATCTGCGTTGCAGTATATGCATTTTTGCTATAGCGCCATCTCAGGAACGGAACGAACATTGTTTGGCTTCGAAATCGAAATATTTATGCGTAAGAGGGCGTATGGACTTATGGATCATGTCATTTTCCTTACGAATCGGGACCTTGTTTTGACCATAAAAGATAGGATTTGACGAGTTTGAACTCTGTGTAATAATGAATTTTTTCAATCAGAGATAATCAATCCTCGGAACTTCGGAAAATCTTCAAATGAATCCTGGTAAGTAATCAAAACTGTATTTGCTATCCTCCCGTCTCGCAGTTCGCAGATCTTGCTCTCTGAGGACTGAACCACCGCTGTGCCTCCCCGTGTGACTGGGCGTTGAAGGAGGGTACATGCAAGGCCAAACCTCGGCCAGCTGTAAAACTAAAAGTGAAGCCATGGCATGGAAATAGAATGGGCTTCTTCATTACTATTCATTATTCAATTTGGGTGGCTGTCGCATAAGGAAGCCACTGCACTCTCAACCCCTCGTTAATGAGCCAGACGTTGTGACTTGTGACTGTCACTGTAACACTCCAGGTTGTGAATCCGGACAATTGATTTAAAACAACAATTAGAAACAGTTTAAATGCCATAAGAATAAGTCAATATTTACTAAATTTGTTAAGAATTTTATCAGACAATATATAAAGGACAATTATTGATGATGGTCATTGTTATTTGATTAACATTTTTCATTCAATCTGAAGGCGAAAAGGAAGGCTTTTTGTTTGTTGGGTGTCCAGGGCAGCGTCTCACAAAACTGTCATAAGTACAAGTTTACCGACAGTCCGACATTACATTGAAATGCGTTTATTAAGTTTAACACACGTTTCAATGGGATGTCTGTGAACTTGTACAGTACATGTACTTAGTCTATGACGGTTTCATTAAACGCTGCCTTGGACTCCCAATCCCACATGGCTGTTGTGTACTCCGGAATTTTGCCATTCTGATCTAGACTTAATTCTTAATCTAATCGACCATGCTCTCTCAAAAACTGATCGATTGTATTTTTTTTTTCTATCCTCATTTAGGGAATCCATCATGTTACCATACTGAGGGCAAGTTCTGGAAATGGAAGGTATAACTTGAGCAAAGGAAATATATACAAGGAATTAAAACCCAAGTTTTGACATGTTTCATGAAAATGTGTGGATCAACATGTTCTAGTTGTGACAGATGCAAGAACAATCGTTTGTGATATTTTAAAATCAGAATTGTAAAGCAATTTAACTCCCACCATGAGCCGCTTTCTAAGAAGGATGAGCAGCACTGCCTCGTCCACAGTGAGTTCTCCGCCTCCAGCTGCCAATCACCACTCTCAAGAGAGGGCGATGTCACCTGAGGTGGAAGCGCAGCAGGTGCGTCTTGAGGTGTACCTCAACCACTGGCAGCAGATCCAGGTGATTGTCAACAAGGTTTTTAACAACCGTCGCACCTGGTCGAAGGTCAACCACGATGATGTCCAGACTGTTGCTAACTACACCATCCAGATGATGCATCTCCTGGTCGAGGAGGAAGCTCCTGCTCAGGGCACTATCGGCCGGCTCCTGGAGATCCTGATCCAGGAGAACATCCTGGAGAAGCTCTACATCTGGAGCGAGCGTATCGGCGATTACCAGGAGGACGCCAAACGAGAACTCCTCAAGATCTACGAGCTCATCATCGGCCAGTGCAAGCAGTCGGTGCTGATGCATCCGGCAATCCTCAACCCGCTGCTTAGTCTTCTGCTGGCCTGCTGGGAACACTCACGAGAGGACACAGAGAGGCAGCTCATTCCCTTGCTCCAGGCTCTCTGTATCTCTCTCTCCCAGGACCCTAATCTCCTCGAGTTCCTCTTCCATGCCAGTCCGAGCAAGGGGCCGGCAAAGTTTCTTCTCTTCTCGCTTCTCATCCCTTACATCCATCGAGAAGGGTTAATGGGTCAGCAGGCTCGGGATGCTCTCCTACTGTGCATCTCTGTATCAGCCGAGGCTAAAAACATAGGCAAATACATTGCAGATAGCACCAATCTTTGTCCAGTAAGTATATTTTCATGCACTTGTATTGTTGTACACATACCATTTTCTATGATTATTTCTCATAATCTCCCAGTCTCCAGAGATGTACTAGACATTTTTCTTTTTTCTATGGATTTGGTATATTACTATACACCTGTATGTCCACTAATGCCTCCTTCTGAATTTATTCAAAGTTTTGTATTCTGCTATAGACAGAATTGCAAGTAATTAATTTACATTTCAGAAAAAGAGCCCCCCAAAAAAACAAAAACAAAAAAACAATTAAAATAATGAAGAACAATTACACAATTTGTTTTAAATCATCCACTCAAGCTTTTTTATTTGAATACCAGGAAGGAACAGAAACAGGAACCAAAACTTGATAGAAGTCTGCTTGATATCGAGTTCATAAAAGGCTTCAGTAGTTGAAGCCACATGTACAGTACACTGTATAAAGCCACACCAAAGCAAAGCTTAAAAAATAAAACATGGTTGATATCCCATTGAAGAAAATTTCAGGGGAAAAAACCTTTCACTTAAAGAGATTCCTTATGGAAAAGAATGTTACTTCTTGTTAACGCTAATATGTTCCATATAAAAATATTATGAAAGAAAGAACTGCATCCTACCTAAGTTGGTAAAAAGATGTAACGAGTATAGAATAAAAGTACCAAGTTACAAATCAATGGAAACATTAAAAAAAGTTATCCTGCATCATTCAGTGAAAACTTATTTTTGAAAAAGTATTACAATAAAAAAAAAAGTTCTGTTAAGTTCAATGAATGACTTGAATGTTCAGCTTAAAGTTATCTGAACAATGATCCTGGTTTCAAATTCCTTTATTTTGGGGTCTACAAATACTTAAACCCCACAAGTTCAATGAACATTCCCTTCTCCATCATCCACACTCTGTCTTCATTATTTAGAGCTATTTTAGTCCCTCAGAGTCACTCTAATGGCAGATCTCAGGACCCGTAGTTCCTTTTCCTATCAAGATTCCATCAGGATATGTTTCATTTGGGCAGAATCCAGTCAGCCTTACGATCTACAGTGGCTAGATCTCTGCCCGCAGCTCTTAATCATGACGGATTAGTTCAGTAAGTCATGCTAGCCCACTTACTAGACACTGATACACTATGTATCATAGAAAATCTGTAGGATGCCCATTGAGATTTCAGAGATTTTTCGTGAATTATGTCAATGTTTTTGTTAATTTTTTTATCAACTTGCTGTGCAGTTTTGCAGAATGACATTGACACACTTTGTAGAAAACTTAGTATTATTTCAATACAAGGAAGTGTTAAATACAATTCGCAATCTTGATTATCTTTTCAAATAATAATAATAATAATAATCTAATAGTCCACTCCAAATTTTATTAAACCGAAACGGAAATTCTTTTTGCCCAATTGATCGTGAGCCCGGCAGCCACTGAGCAGCGCCAGATCGACGTTGCTCTATCCCTTATTGTTGAACGCCAAACAAGGTAGCAACAACTCCCATCTTTTAACGTCTTTTGGTATGACGCGGCCGGGGTTCGAACCCACGACCTCCCGGTTGTGAGGCGGACGCTCTACTGACTGAGCCAACATTCCGGTACAAAGTACATGAAAACAAAGCAATTCATATTGCCTGACAGATAAGCTCTTAACTAGATTTATACATTGAAGTAGTATTAAATCTTTCTAGGTTCCTCTTAGCATCTGAGTGTGGAAAATAGAATGCAGAGAGTTCTTTTCTAACAAAATACATTTACATGAATTGTACACTTGGAAATATATTGTAGGTGAATTACAGTCTCTTAAGATTATTTGATAAATATGTTTGTAGGATCCACACCCCATCATCACATACATGTACGAACACACCCTATATAAACTAATGAACAACTGCCTTTTGCAATTTATCAGAAGGGCAACATACTATATGGAACTGGAAGTCAAGGGTGATCTACAGTGTACATGTTCTGTACATGTACATGTGTACCTCAAGAAAATATAAAAGTGCTCTGGTAAACTCTAAAGGGTTTTACATCAGCAAATCCAAAAAGAGCTCACTTGAACACAACAGTATTTTTCATTGTTTATTTGTTCACAATGCTAAATACTTTGTAAGGTTAGATTCAGATATATGTACACTGTACATGTACTTTGGATGAACCAATGATTACTTTGAAACAAGCTCATTATTTAATTGTGTTTTGAATGTGGATGCCAAAGTGTCAAATAAGCCAGGAAATCTATTAAAATTATTCAATTTAGTGACAATTAAACTAGCCTTCACTTTGATAAGGGAAATTAGTTCTTGTAAATACTGTAATTGGCAATGAGCCACCAAGTTCTCTCCACTATGTGTCTGAAAATTGAGTGTATACTTCATAGTCTATTCTTGTATGAAGATAGTATTGGATTAAATTCTTTTATATGGAATTTTATTTACAAACAGATACATGTACAAATGTACAGTAGTTGCCCATAAAAAGTCTATACAGTTTTAAAACCTTCTCTGGGAATGTGTTCCACATACAATCCCATCATAAAACATTGTGTGATTTCTTTTACAATGTACATTGTAGCTGAAACCTAAACCTATAAGTTTTTAGAGTTCCCTGGTGAATTAATACTTGAGGAAGAAGGACATTTTAGAAGATTCTCAACGGAAGCAAGAAATGTAACATGTAAATTCTAGACCCAAGAACCGGACTTCCTTATGTTGGGTTAACTGTGCTGTTTCCTTCTTGAATATCAAAAACAAATGTTAAATCATGTTCTAAATTGCAATAATACATACACTTGCACATAAAGCTGTGCAATGGAATGAACGTTGCAATTACAATATGAATACATGTACATGTACTTGTACTCTCTACACAGGCTGAACAACATTATGTTTTTGAAATTATTAGAATAAAAATGTATTTGTAACTAATAACTATACACAAAGAAACATTTTCGTTTTGGGGAGGGGGCAACCATTTATGTGTTTGGGATAAGAATGCAGTGTACTGGTGTACAGTGTACCCATGAAATTGCAAAACAAAATACAAATACAGATTATATGTGTATTTTGTAAATATAAATACATTACGTAATGCCTGAAGCCAGCACAACCTACGCGTTTACAAGCCTACATGTACAGTAATACTTGCACTTTGCAGGCCTATGGATTGCTTACACATGTAGATATTTTAGGGCAAAATCTGTGTGCTAAATGCATTGGATAGCTACCCAGATGGCGAAGCAGACAGCACTGATTGCAACTTCATGGCGTAAAGCCCACTTACAATGTAATTGACCGTCGGTGCAGGCGATGCGTGAAAAGTGAATTATCACTTCCTTTTTGTAAACGCGACTCAAGATCTAGTGCTTATCATCAGTGTAATGCTTGGCAGAGTATGATTTCACTCTCTGGGTCTTGCAATAACAGTATAAAGTGCGTGGATCAAGTTCACTGAGCTTTTGAAAGTGCTCAAAGCCTGAAGCTACAGTTGTTTATTACAGCAGTATTCTAAGTTCACTGCGTAACTGTTGAAATCTCAGGTCACTTTTACATAATAGATGGGACAGTGAATTATTGATTATCAATAAATCACTACATAACAACTACGGTACATTGTACACCCATACATGTACATGTAGATGACTCAAATTCACAGGTTACATGTAGTACAAATATTTTGCAATTATCTTGGCATCTGTAAAAATCAACAAGTTTAATGAAATTATTTAATACAACAAATTGAAATAAAGAACATAACATTTCTTATATATCCATAAATTACCATAAATCTCCATGTATAAGACCATTTTTTTGCCGCTGAAAAAAATTCAAAGTCAGGGATGGGTCTTATACACAGGTACATGTACTGTACAGGTTGTATCCAAAAAACAAAACAAAAAAGTTTTTGTTTTTTTCTTCGCCCAAAAATAAGGGTGCATCTTATACACAGATGCGTCTTATACACAGAGATTTACGATATATTAAAAGCCCATGAAAATTATTGTTATAACATGATTTATTTATTTATTTATTTAAAATGGTTTATTTCATTAAAAAACATTCGCGTCCCGAGAGCCGAATTGCAGTTTCTTTTACAAGGTATACATCAGTGACAAAGTAAAATTACACGTAAAACATTATGCATGGTAGCATTATGGTAGTAAAATTGGAATTCTTTTGTACATACGATATATAATTGTGTTTCAACGACCTTAGCAAATTGCTTGGTACATATACAGAAATTCGAATTGTATTACCATACTTGCAATAAAATTATATATTAAACTTATACAATATAATTATGAATAGCAATGATAAGAGAGACTTCACCAAATCCTTATTAATAATGAGCTACAGTACCCCCTTTTTTTTTTACCCTAAATGGTTCATACAATCATCTTTTTGGAGCCAGAAGGGCATTGTACTTTAACATAGAGTTAACAACCTTCTGGCTCTGAACAGACAAATTCTACATGTACATGTAGAATGAGAGCCTTTTCACACAAGCATGAAGTGTAAGTGTACATGTACATGTTGTAAACATTGTACAAACTAACTCCTTCTGGAAAGGAACTAAAAGATGGGTGTGGCTACATGTATATGGGCACAATGTTATTATTATAAAATATTCATTTGATGACTCGACCCTGATGGAGTGTCATACACAGTACATGTCTCAAAATGATGGCCAAACCTCTGTCAAAAAAATGAATCATCTCCATGTGCGTATACTGTAGTGTAACCACTCAAAACATCATGCACTTTGGAAGTTTGGTGGCAGGATAAATTTAGATTATAATCCAAATTAAAAACAAAACATTAATGTTGTGAGCTCTCTTTGAATGTAGTGGTGTAAGAATGTGTTTTTCTCTCCTAAATTTTTCACAGCATTATAGAAAACCTCACCCAAAGAAATAACTTCAGTTGTTATGACAGATTTATTATATTCTTGCCCATTTATCTACATGTATACGATTCCCCACCAAAGTGTAGAGAGAGGGTACAAAGCAAGAATAATGTGAATTTTTCTCAGCATGGCATGGGCATCACTATTTTCTTGATAACATGACGTAAACTGTACTGTTCAAAGTCGTCAAGAAATGTATTTACATGTAGATGTATGCTTCCTTCACAGGTGTGTGTGGTGATGAAGCATTTCATTCACCCGCCATTATCCTTTGTACTCCAATTGCTTGAACAAAAATTGCATTAATTTGGCGCTCTTCTGGAGTGAAGGTTTTGCATAAATGAAATAGATTTGTCCACTGCTATATTTCAGTATTTTTATGTACAGCGTAAATGTTACAATTATTCCCCTGTAGTACATTTTTCACCGAATATAATTTTTCCTTCTCGGCAATGATTTTCCCTCACTAAATGTAAAGGTTTTGTTATTGAATTATAAAGTCTTTCCAACTTAAGCTTGGTGCAATGGTGCATGATACAAATGTACATTTACAAGTTTGCCTGGTATGTCACATTATCAAAAACATGGCTACATGTACATTGTACACCCATGTAATTCTAAATGACATGACATCATGCCAAGAATATATCTCTTGTACACTTTTTCGTAAGGAATACACATGTATCTTTTTTCCAGAATAATAATAATAATAATAATAATAATAATAATAATAATAATAATAATAATAATAATAATAGTGGGTTCTTGTATAGTGCTCATGTCAGTCAGATTTGACCTCCTGGCGCTCCCGAATATTACCCTGGCTTTAGCACGGCACTCTAGCATTTCAAGGAATAAATTCCTACCAGGTACCCATTTGCTTCACCTATACTTATTCTTTGGGGTGACGTTTCCTTTAAGGGCAATGCCTTATAATCACATTCACCAGTGACTTTTAGAAGGTTGTGAAAGAGTACATTAACATTTAACTGCACCAGTGCTGAATGTTTTGAACTGTCACTTCCTCCAATTTCCATGCTGTCATTAAGTGCGGAAACATCAAAGATACATGTCTGAAAGAGATACCAGGTCTGTGCTGTTTCTGCTCATGTTGTATACTTTTTTTATATGAAAAAAGATAGTTTAATTTATATCCTGCATCAAAAATTTGTTGGCTTTTGATTGGTTGAGAGCTCGTCACATGACCAAAAATATTTTAGCTATTTTTAGAAAGTACTATATGAGAGTACTATTTTGGTTTACTATTTGGGAGTTGAAAAAAAAATGTGAATTTTTTTTTTTGAATTGAATCAATTTTTTTTTTCAAATCTTAATTTAATGAAAACAAAATATTTTAAATCTTTTTAGATAAAAATTAACATTTTTTTGATGCAGGATATAAAACAAATGTACCGTGCCTTCTATTCGAGGTACTGGTTAAACTATGGGCCTCTGTGACTCCAAAAGTACCATTTGCTTCGGGGCTGCACCCCTCAGCAAATAGTACTATTGGAGTCACCTCTTGCGCATAGTTTTAACCAGAACCTCTCAAGGCAATGTATATTTGTATATATACATGTAATGTATACCGGTATGCAATTTTTTGACATTTTGACAAAAAATATACAATATGAAAAAACAATAAATCATATAATACATCAGATATACAATATATGAAAAAAAGATAAATAATGAAGTTCATGATTGCCATTATATGAAGATGTACATGTTCTTTTATTATTATTACCAGTATTATTATATGAAACGTAGTTTGCTGAACCCCGTAGGAAGCTGTCGCATTTAACCCAGCATCTTTCTTTCTTCGATCCTCTGTAGGTGTTAGCTGGTGGCCTAGGGGCTTTGTACTCTCGTCTACCTGGTAAGCTGGACATCTCTCCTGACCATTGGCATCGTATCACCCAGGAGGACCTGGCCAACATGCCTGACCTAGCAATGTTTCTCAACTCCCTCGAGTTCTGCAATGCTGTTGTACAGGTTAGTATCAATGTCTAAAATCCTCTACATAGTCCTAGATGGCATGTGTAGCTATGAGAAGGCAAGAGGTGAGGGGGGGGGGGTACATGTCCATGTCCCCCCCCCCCCCCCACATGAAAAATAGGGGAAGAGAGGGGCGTGCAAAGAATGTGATTGCACCCCTTCCACACCCTCAGCCTTTCTTAAAGGGATCCGGTAACTTAGTCTCAGATTCTGAAATAAAATTCTGTAGCTCATAATGCAATGATAATTATAAACCTTTAGGTCAGTCAGGAACCCCATGACTTTTACAAGCCGATCACCTGTCTGATTATCAAGATACATGTATTTATGATTGGAATTACAAATTTTGAAAACCGTTCGCCTGACGGTTTTCATAACACTACAGTCTAGTGGGGAAACAAGTATGGTAAAACCGGTCACTCAAAGATTTTTACTTTTTTGAGGCACTTCTTGATCATTTTGAAGCGCAATTTTTTTAGGGCTTCAATATTACACCATATCACAGACACTGATAACATGTAGGGCCGTGTATCTCAGATTTAACATTGTTAAACGATCCCTTTAATTGATGGTCATGTTCTTTTGCATATCATAAAATAAGTGCCACCGCCTCCCCCTTGGCACTGTGCCCCCTCAATGGCTTGACCCATACCTCACCACTGGTCCTACATAACTTGTGTAGGTAAGGGTGAGAAATGGGTTTGATTTTGGTTTCAATCAGACCATTACTGTACACCATAGCACCACTGGCACTAATCGTAGGAATTACAACAATGTGGCTACAGGATTGCTTGAAATATCACACTTCTATGATCCCTCCATTCCTACACAGGTTGCCCACCCCCTCGTCAGTGATCAGCTAGTCCAGTTCTTCCACGATGGGTTCTTGGTTCCGGTTATAGGACCAGCCCTTCACCAGGTAAGTTTGAATTTTTGTTTGTTTTCCCCCTCACACCTACATGTAATTCTAACTGATAATGTATCAATATTTCCCTATCCAAAGCCCTTTCCACATTAATGCTAATTTTAACAGTTCCAGAATGTATCCAGTTTGTAATAACTAGAATGTCATTACTCTTGTGCAGTTGTTTCTACGTATGTACAGTATTACATTACCGTTAGTCTCAAAACGTTGATTTTATGAACATAATTCATCAAAAGAAAAAAAAGGTTGTAATTGCCTTCTACTGAGAAGGAGTTGAGCCTGTACCCAATTCTAATTAGACGTTCTTATAACATGGTTAGTAAAGGAAACCGAAACAAAACAAAACAGAAAAGAGAAAAAAGAAGCAAAACTTCATACTAAACCTAATAAATTCTTAACAAAATATAACAAGATTTTTTGTAAAATTTATAGAAACAGAGTTTTAGATTACAAGCCTGTAATGTGTAGTAAGAAGTGTAAAATTGTCATGATTTTTGTTTGGAATATCTGACTTTAAAAGCCTTATCACTAAAAATAGAAAAAAAGGGATTGCTAGTTGTAGAAAGTAATAGAATTGTAAAATAATTTGTCAGTGGTGATTTAGAGTTGAAATACTCCAATTTTATATCCATTTTCAAGCAATAAAATATTTTAATTACTGCTATTGTGATGATATTTTAAAACAAAGAAATAGAATATTTGAAATTCCAGGAATGGTTTTAGGATGAATGATCAGGTAAACACAGTTTTACCAGTACCTCAATCATTCAATAATCACTAAACCATGTCAAAGGCAATGCATGGTCTTAAAATACCTAATACCTCTACTTAGCAAATTGGGAGGAACAGTCAAACTTTGACAAAAAACTCTAATCGGCAGATTTTCTGGCCAAAAATTAATTCTCAAGCACCAATACAAGAGGAGATCATGTGCATCAGAGCTGAAAGTGCATAGAAAATGATCCATACAAAATTATATTAAAGGTACATATCTCTTTAATAGACTCATAGTGAAATGATGCAAAATTAACTAAACGTTCAGTATTTAACAGCAGGATAAATATAGATAACAAATACTAAGTGATTTCTGTTGTTGAATTGAACTTGTAGATTTGGCTATTTATAGTAAAAGTCATATTCTTCTAGCATTAGCCAAATTAATGTAGGAAACAAGTATAACAGAGGAAAAAGTTTTGTGTACTACATAATAATTAAATTTCTGAAATATTCCTTCTCTCAGGCATTTTGGAATAGATTTAGGCGAATATGATCTACAGAGAAAGCTTTCAAAATGATGAAATAGTACATTTAGTCTTTAAGTGAATAGGGAGGGGATGTAATGGCTTGTCCAGACTCTTAAACCATTATGAACCATGTGATCAAAGGTTGAAATCTTCCCTTTTTACTATTAGTTTTGGTAAAAACCCCTCAGTACTATGAACAATAGGAACCTAGAGAATGTACATGTAGCTACTTACTGACGCTTGTGAAAAGTAAACAAAGCCTGTTCCAATAACTGGCTCAGTAATTTTGGTTAATATTAAACTCCCACTGTCGAAACATGAGTGGATATTAAGGGAAGCAACTAGGGCTTATAAAAAGAATATCTTTTGAAGCCATCTTTGTGCTCTGAGTCATAATCTGCCATTATAATAATGTGACGAGGACAATAAAAGCATTAATTCTAATGAGTTAACACCCACTTGCTATCAGGAGATTTAATGTTATTATCATACATTTAAAAAAATATAATTATATCATATCCTCCGAATTAATGTAAACAGAAACCAAGTGTAAATGGATTCAATTTTGACATAAAATTTTCAATTAATTAACCATATTAAGAAATTGATTGTGTGTACATATTTACATTAATGGCATCCAGTATGTAAATCAATTAATTAAACATGATCGTAACACAGTATACTCACATGTATCCAGTGCTATCCTATATTTTGATTTTTTTTTAACCAAGTTCAACCCCTGACTAACAATAATTGAACATTTTAACCCCATTTTGTTCGTCCCTTGTGATTGGTATGAGTATCACCATAATCTTTTCCTGCACCCTATTCCCTGTTTACTTATTCTTTGATGATTCTCAGCACAATAGTGCTTGAATCAATTAATATATTCAACATTTTTGTAATCGTTGAGTAAACTGTGAATACCTGCATAATTGTAGATTATCATTCCATAGAATATAATGAGTTCCTTTTTTTATTTCAATTACTTTATTTTGTAATCCTTTGTATACAGTAACCTGCCTAAATTCTATGTATTGTGTATTATTATATTATTGGAAAAAATGTATTATCACTTTTAAAATGTAAAATGTAATAAGTTGCTTCAAGTCAGTAGCCATTGACTTGACATAAAGTTGTCATTGAATTGTGTCACAATATCTATTGTAGAAAGAATGTATGCAAAATGAAGTTGTATGAACACATTTAACTTGTAGATAATCTGGGCATTATATGCACTTGTTAGAGCTGTTTTTAATTAATCACAACATTACGATCACATAGGCCTGGACCTCATAATCATCCCGTGTTATTTGATAGAGTGTAAACACTTGAAAAGCTGGACAGAGTATTTGTTAGGAGGGCACAAGTGTAAACAAATCTCTGATGAGCCAAAAATAATGTCAAAGTTTGTGGGGCATGTTTTTACAAATCATAGCCCTTGCTCCCCTGCCAACTCCCACCAGTCTTATGTCCTCTGACCCCCTTCCCCTAGTGCTCCTCTCCTCTGCCCTATTCTCCTGCCATCTGCCCCCACCTCCCTGCAACCCCTCCCTGCCCATTTACCCACTGCCCCCTCCTCTTTGTTGTAATGCTGCCTCAGCTTGATGAAAAGAGTAAAGAGAATTACAAACAAAATTATTAACAGTCAGATAAATATGTCGGTACATATAGAAATGATTTCAAGCAGTACATTAGTTCTTTGAAAATAAACATAGAGTAATGCTCTTAGGAAATCTGATCGAATGCAGTGGAACCTGTCTACTATTAAAGGTACTATGTCCCTTTTGCAGCCAACCTCAAATTCTGTAGAACTTTGCAGGAAGTATGAATATGTCATGTATGTCCTATCTGTAAAAAAAAAAACATTGGCAGTGTCCTCATATTCAAATTATGCAAGGAAACCCGTTTACTTGCTAGACTTCACTGTCAGACACTATTGAGTGACTGACTGGCTTTTTTTCTTCCTTGGTAATAACATACATGAAAAGAGTTGTAAAGGGTACATGAGCATTTGTCTACATCAATAACCCACTTCTTGTGATGGCCAAGATTAAACTGATTGAATCTTTGTGCAGCATAAAACGTATGACCATTCGGTACAATTGTCTGAAAATCAAGACTATTACTTTTGGGCTCTATAGCCCTAAAGTCGATTTGACAATTAATAGTCGTTATTTTCCCACTTGAAGACATTTTCAAGCCCCACCTTGTTTAGGGAAGTTCTAAATTAGTATTATCTTTCAAATGCAGTTGGAATTTAACTTTTTCATTTTTTTGGCCTGCAAATGGGACATACAGTAGTACCTTTAAAGGCCATATGGGAATCAGATCAAGTGGCTGAACTGGCCATTATAGACAAATTGTCTTAATAGAGAGGCAACCACTCAGTCAGGCTGATTGAACTGTATAAAATGTATACAGAAATAAATTAGTGAAGAGCAAGTTTATTGTGGAGTTAATGCATGATTATACCCCTCAATCTCCTCCAAGCTGGACCGAGAAGCCATTTTGCTTAGATCCAACAAAAATCGACCAGTAAGTTACAAATGTACAATGTATAGAACTAGCTCTGAAAAATGCTGTAATCTCACTGCTTTTCACTAATTATTCCTTCTTTGATCACCAAGTGGAAATAGTTTTGTTTTGTTTTGTTTTAGTTTTGTCTGTTTGAGTGTGTTTTTGTGTCTGCCATTCTGATCTGTCTCTGTCTCTTACTCTCTCTCTCTCTCTCTGTCATGTTTTGGTAGCTACAATGTATATTCTGGAGAGTCTTACATTTATAGAAGGAATTATATGTTCAACCACTAGACATTTTTGCAAATGCACAAGCTTCTAGACCTACAACTTCACACTGTATTAGCATGAAGAAAAGTATGTATTAACTACCGTAATTAACGGTGTATAAACCGCACTTTAAAAAAAAAAAAGTTTCGATTTATGGTGCTATGCCTGACAATGTCTCCCAGCTCAGTAATCGGTGTGTTGACTCACCACTCGGAAACTAAAACAACACTCAAATTTGTCTGTCATCTTGGTTTGAAATTAATCTTTCTGATAGATCTCAATATGTAGTTTATAATAATAATTCCTCCAATTTTTCTTCTATTACATGGTGTACCACAAGGTCCTATCCTAGGTCCTCTACTGTTTTTTTAATTTACATTAATGATCTTACACATTCAGCTGCACCTCGCAGTTAAATGAAAGGCCTTCCCGCGTGGGTTTTTTAACACGGACCCGGCAAAAAAAGTCAGCAAAAAGAGGGGTGCGGTTAATACATGAAGGCGGTTTATACACCGTTAATTACGGTATTAAAGGCATTGGCTGTATGATTTGAAGTATGACAAATATGTAAAAAGAAGGGGAAAAAGGTTAACGTATGTTGAAGTACTTGATGTGTTAAAAAATATGATATATGATTCATTTCATTTATACACAAACTGTTATCTGCTCTATGGATTTTATGTTTCACAATATGGATACTAAAACCCATTCATCAGATTCCACACTTGTGCATATTTATGAAAACTTTTAATTAATGCCTGAAAAATCATCCATCTTTATTGGAAAAGCTGATTTTTACTATTAGAGAGGTGTTGTGTCCGAGTAGATACGTTGACATGGTTGGCGGCTCGAGTCCTGCCACAGCACTAACTAATATAATTTGGCAAGACCCAGGTGAAGTGAAAAGGTACCTGCCAGGAATCATTTCCTTAAATTGCTAGAGCACCATTATGGCAGCCTTGC